AAAAAAACCCATCTTCGATTTTTCTTAAAATCTCGTAAATAGACAACCGAAGGCCATCATACAGTAATATAGAAAAACATGTTGCATTATTTTGTTTTTAGCGACAATATTCGTGGTACAAATCAGAGCTTTTCGAGAATGCGCTGATAAGTTGAGAAATCTAGAAATCGGAATGGAAAAGCGACAATAAGCTTCAAACGCGAGTAAACGTGGCCGCATTTGGTGAAGAAAGGCTGTTTTAGCACTGTGACAAATACGTACCCATGAAGGCGCACTTATGCTCCTGATAACACAGCTCTAATGGAGGAAATCTTCGATACTGTACCTCAGTTGCAAAACATCTGTCTATATTTGCAGATAAACTCAAACATGAAAATGTTCCTATGCAAGTGTTGGGTCTTGCTATAAAAAGCATATGCGCTTGATGTACCCTTACTGGTATTTGGGTTGTGACTGCGTGTGAAACAAGAGATGCGCTCAAAATGGCTCCATCTTTTGCAGATCACATTTAGCAGTACGTGACGCTAACAAAACACGACCACGATCAGTGCCCTCAGATGTGCTTAGCCAAACATGCCAAGAACATATGCCTGGAACATGTGGCAATAATTTCCACGGGCTCTTCTTAAACTGACGGAATGTTTCTAGCTCGTCTGCATCTGCACACAGCAGCTTGACATTCTTGAGCTTCGCACTCATTTGCGCCACCATTTGGGATGCTGACATAATCACAGCTGAGCTTGCCGCTCTGAGGTTGTAGAGCGTAGCCTGATGCTTTAGTAGGCCAGCAACGCCGTCACAAAAGCTCTTGCCATGTCCTGTGGCCGAAAAAATCCACTTTGTTGATATATGATCTTTCTGACATAACTCGAACAACTGGTACTTGTTTTTGAAGTGACTGCATGCACCATCAGAAACATAAGTAACATGCGTGTCAGGCTTAAGTTGTTCCTTCATATAGTTGTGGATTATTTGTAGAGCTAAACAGGCATGTGCAGCATCATGGCATGTGTCATCACTGATGACGGCAAAACTTTGAATTGATTGCTTCCTTGTGACGACACACATGAATATAGACACCTGTCTTTTGTGCCAGTGGTACCACTTTACCTCATTCGGTAAAATGGCTGTCCAATTTTCAGCGAAATCAAAGTGAAAAATGCAAGATTCTTTTTCTTGGTTCTCTTTCACCTGGCGTATTGCTGATTCTTGAATGTATCTTATGTAATCATGGGTAATCCACTTCACGAACCATACACTTAGCTCTCGCAGAAAGCACTTGCCTGGGCTGTTTTTTTTTACTAGATCGCCATTTTCCCATACTGCATAGGCTACCTCAATATCTTCAGGTTTTCCTAAACATGTGGCTGTCAGAGCGTCCTCCTTAGCACAATAGTCACAATGGCCTAAAAACAATCACTTGTAGGGGAGCTGCAAAGACATAGTTCTTTCAAGAAGTCCGCCGTGTAGGCACCATCGGTGATGTCTTGTAAGGCAGAAACACACTCCGTGGCATTAGCACAGTATATACAAAGGCACACTTCTTGGTGTGGTGCAAGAAAAACTCACTTCGGTCTCAGTTAATAAAACTTTGAGAGCCCAATAGACGTGTTCGGATTAGCTTCTCTAAAGAGACGGTAAGCCTCTCGCACCGAATGGGTCATAAACCTTTTCGAAACAAGCTCCTTTTTTCCGTCAATGATAACAGATACTACATCTTTTTTATTGGGACTCTGCTGAGAGCAGCTATACTCATCTTTGGAGTAGTAAGCCATAGCTGCCTGGACGTCCATTGGGTTCAGCCTTGTCCTTTTTACCACATTTGGTGCTAACCATATCCCGTGTTTTGCGCGCCAGCTTCGGGATCTGTATATCGTGTAAGCTGATAAGTTTGGTATAAGCACTTGGAGTTTTCGGCACTCTATATCGCTCGGCAACAGTGTCAACAAACGCATGCGCTCTTGATACAAAGAACACCCTTCATAGGCTTGCTTGAAGTTCTTGAACCACTGGGCACACACACTGCATTTTAGATCTGATTGCTGAAAGTGGCAGTTGCACACGTTACGGTGGCATTTCACGGTTACTGTGGAATTGCTGCTAAGTTGTCTTGGCTCTGCATGAACTTTGCTATTTTGCGCATGCAGCTTCTCCAGTCGCATATGTGACAATGCTTCAGGCGTGTTAACGCACTGCTCTTGGCTTCTGCCTTTTTCTTCTTCCGGCAAAAACTCATCAGCTGTTTCAGCTGAGGAGCCATTAGACGAAGACAGCATATCTCTGAGGCATCTGAAGCAGTTCTGGCAGACGTGGTCGTTGTTATGTGCATGGCGGGCAGCTTTCGGCAAAAGCTTCTGGAGGGCAAACGGGCCGATGTCTTCGACCTTGCGGAAGTTTCTTTGATAAGGTATTTTCTTTTTATGTAACATGAGGTAATCTGAACAAAAAACTCTATCCCGGCTGAAGTGGTCAGCCATTGCCACGCTCCTTGAGGCTCAAATTACTGGCAATGCAACTATGCGTGAAACCAGCAGCACGAAAGTGATCTATCTGTCGTCTGTTCCTATGTCTCTCACCTTTAATGAGAGCAGGCGTAAAACAGTGTGCGCAAGTATCCGCAGTGCGAATGCAAAACTGAAGTATAGTACGTTAAGATGAATTTCACAGTGTTTTTGTCGATAAAATTACGGGAGGCGTAATCTTTGTCCCTACTTTGAACCATATGATCTAAAAGCATTGCCTCCGAGATGCTGCGCACAGCAATTCATCTGTAGAGCAGACGACAGATGACAACTTGCCCTAAAGCGTGTTCTTCAGTCTAATGCGGCAGTGTCTGTGCCCCAAATGATAAAAATTTGTTATGAATCATTTATGAACTCATTCAACATTCAATTCTCTTACCCAACGTGTTGCAAACGCATGGCCGTCACAGCAGCTCTATCTGTGCGTCAGTAATGGAGAGGCACCACATATTAGAAGTCTCAGTGCTCTACGTATAAGAGTGAATTCAGATACTGTAGAATATTGTGTTCAAAATAGTTATCCTATCTGCTAACACAGCCTTTCTTCACCAAATGCGGTCACGTTTACTCGCGTTTGTAGCTCATTGCCGCTTTTCCGTTCCGATTTCTAGATTTCTCAACTTATCAGCGCATTCTCGAAAAGCTCGGATTTGTACCACGAATATTGTCGCTAAAAACAAAATAATGCAACATGTTTTTCTATATTACTGTATTATGGCCTTCGGTTGTCTATTTACGAGATTTTAAGAAAAATCGAAGATGGGGATTTTTATTATTCAAATTTCAGTGGAGTACACTTTTGCCAATATGAGAACTTTGAAGCAATATATCAAAATTTACATTTGCCCTACGGCAGCAATAATTTATGTACCTAATGAACACACTATATCTTTAAAATGTGTCAAGTTTGAAAATGCTGCTTGCATTACTTTTGGAGAAAAAAAAAGGGGAATACGTAACTTATTTTAAACTGTCGCAAAATTATACATTTTTAAAAGCTATTTTCTTAAGGTCTACAAACTTTAAACCGTATGAATTCATTCTTCATTAGACATGCATTTTAGGTAAAAATATCTTCCTTGAAACAAAAATATTTGTCTTTTCATAGCATCTGCAATTTTCGAAAATGACAAGTGACGAAATTGGTGCCTCCGTGTTGGTGAAGTTTGATATTTTTTTTTTCTCGTAAGTTATGCCATTAATCATAAAACGAAGTTGACTTTCGGGCTACCTGGTGAGAGGTGCACGAAATATAGAATACTCAATGAAATCTAAAATATCAACTATTGGACCGTGTCGATCTCTCGTGGAATCACCCATGTATATGGTTAATGTGTCTAACTTAGTGTGTAGTTACTACACTGACTGCAATGAGCTCACTATTTCAAAGTGTTCGATGTCTCTTTCCGCATTCATTGTTGCGTTAGCATCGCCATTCGCTGGTGCAGTAGTGCAAGTTTGCTTTTTAAGTTATCAAGCATTTCACAAAGCTGTTTATTTTCAGCAATGACTTTTTTGTATTCTACTTGTTGTGTTATTGGTGCGTTATGGCTGGTCATGCCAGACGCGACCCTCACCTTGCTTACCTGTGGCATGGCTGTGCTCGAAGTCCTTCCTTTCGTGTTTTTTTTTCCTTTGCAATCTGTTAGTATATGTTTTATGTCATATCTTGGATGGAAGTACGTCAACGGAGCTATGGTGAATCGCGGCATAAAATGCTTTTGAGTTTTTTGTGTAGAAAAAAATAGCCGCTATTTTTTCGCTCTTGAGTTGTACACTGTGCAAGAACAGCAAGTGCAGATTCAGCTTTCAAGTACATATGGGCTTAGTTCACTCACTGCAGCATTCCTACTTTTTTACTTTCTGCATTAGATTGTGTTTCATGGTGTGTTTTGGGTGGCGTAGTCCTTACTATGCCAGCCGTGTGCATCGTCAGACAGTGCTGCATGACTTATCAAAATGGAAACATCTTTAAGGGGCCACAGTTGGGACAGTATGATGCTACAAACCTTGGTCAACTATGGTTCAGCAAACATCACTGTGTCACCATGTTTTTTCAATGACAAGAGCTGTTCATTGGCTGGCTTAAAGTGATGTCAGCTGCACAGTTGTGGGGGACATGAGTAGGGAAATCAAACTTGTGTATTTATAGGTATTAAGTGAACATGGACGATGACATGAGTCGAGATGTAGTATTAAATCGGTGGCGAGGATTCTAAATACACACTTGAATATTTACAAAAAAAAATGTCTTACGACCCTTTTAATCTCCAGAAAATCTTTTTTTCAGGAGTAGACTCTCTTCCTATTGATTTATTTAAATACACCCATCTTTGTCTGAATCCTTAAGACTGGTTGCCAATTTTAAATTCTTGTTCTCTTACCAGGTAACTTTGTTTGGGTGCCTTTCATATATGAGTACTACTTTTACTCGCATAGTGCTTGCTCACTCTGTTGAGAGAAGAACACGCCTTGCAGGTTTCACTAGTTGAGAAGAGGGAAAATCTGGCCTCTATGATGGAAAGCAGCAACACTGGCACTTTGCGCCTCATAACTACTGGACTTCTAGAAGCCTTGGCTCCTGGTCCACACCTGTGTCGCATGTGCCCACCAGTTACATTTGGCAACTGGAGCAGCTACAGGCCTTTGCTGGCTGTTGGTACGTAATGTTAGTTTGAATGGTTGGATCAGGTATTTTTTCTATTCTCCTACAGTGTTAATAAAGAAATAATCTGAGGGGGCCAGAGTGATATCTCATAAGTGGCACGATATTTTGCATGGAGAAAGGATAATTTAGGAGGCAAAACTCGTCCAGTCTCCACTTGACCTCGAATGAAGTGAACACTGCAAAACTCATGGTAATTTTCTTGCTTCGCCGCCAAAATGGCTGGAAAACCAGGCTGAGGGGTTGGCGGGAAAAAAATCAGTCAGAGACACATTTTTTCGCCACGCGATAGCAAATCGCCTTTTTGCTTTACGACTTTTGGTACATCGGCTGCACTAGCTCTCAAACCACGTGATGCGAGCCGCAAATTCAACATGGCGGCATAGGCGTTGGCGGTGGTTTGTGTCGGTGCAATCGCGAACTACCCCCGCAGCACGATAAATAAAGCTCACAGCCTTGGTAAAGACACATTCATCGAGAGCCTGGTTTGGATTACGATCGCTGTGAACACCAGAAGTAGTAAATGCAGCAGCACTGAGTCGGCATACCCTAACGTGTCTCACTTTTGCACTGCCCGCTGAATCCGTTGCTGCCGCTGCTGGTACGTTCGCTCGAGTTGTTTCTGCTAGCGTATCTCCTGAAACGTTTGTACAGGTGTAAAATGTTTCTTTTCAGTGCTTTGCATGCATAACTAGAACTCTGTACGAAATTTAATGCACAGGAAACAGGCAAAATGAAATTAATTTTCAAGTGGCGGCGGTAAGTGTGAACACTTTCGAGAAGCTTTGCGACCACTCCTATATTTTGGCTTGAATTTTACTCTGTGAGCGATTTTTACGGCCAGTGTGGCATTTTTTTTTTTATTCTCTTCTGTGAGTGATTTTTTTCGTGTCGGCCATGGGGTGCGTTTTCCCAGCTGCTTAAACGGCGAAGCGAGTTAATTTCCAGTAAGGTTTATCTCTTTCCCTCTCTTTGCTGCCAAGTGTGAACGAGCTTTAAATGACTGCATCATGAGTGAGGAAACCGTGGCACTTTATAGAGAAGGGTTGAAAGCAGGAAAGTTCAAAAGAACATCATGGACTCTTTTTCAGAAAGAATTAGTTGACCCCAATAAAGTTCTTGTACATCTTCATGATCAGCTTTAACTTGTTTTTTATTCATACAAATTTTGGATCATACGAACATTTTGCGTGCTCCCTTCAAATTTTTATCATGGAGATTGTACTGTAATATGTTCATTAATCTCTGTGGACAAGAGCTATGAGTTACAAAAGCATATAATTGACTGACTTACTTTTCAGGAAACACAACAGGCAGTGTTCAAGTGTTTGACTTGTCTTCGGGTACCTTAGAGAAAGAGCTCAATCTGCATGCTACACCTGTGAGGTGAGTTTTCCACCCAGGCTCTCAATTCAAACGAGAAATGCAGCAAATATAGGCAAATCATAGAGTAACCTTCTGTTGTTGTTTTTTTTCTAAATATGCATGTTCATCAGCTGAATGTGACAGCTTGCGATTTTTATGTACTCTTACTAATTGGTAATGTCTTTGTGTGTCCCGAGCACTTCTACAGAGGGAAATCGCAGACATGCAGGTAATTATGGAAGTGCAGCTTAGCTAAAAAAAAAGCAAATTTGTGGCAATAGTTTTTATATTTTAAACACTGTAGAAAGACCCTTCACATTAATAGAGACAGTTCTCATTATTTTCTATCTAAACACTGTAGAGGCCATTGTGGATGTAAAGCATGCATTACTCCAGTGATTGGTCAGGGTGAACTTTTCTTCTGTGCATCTGTGATGTATGTTTTTGGGAATTGAGCTGTAGCCATGTTTTTTATGATTATATTCTTTCTTTCTTTTCATTTCAATCTATTGTTATGTAGCACATTAAATGGCAATGCAGTAACAGGCCGACTGACTCATTAGAAGAGGGAAAATCTGGCCTCGATGATGGAAAGCAGCAGCACTGGCACCTTGCGCCTCCTAACCACTGACATTAGCTCATTAGCTATTGACTCATTAGCTATTGAGTTGTAAAATAAATACAGGAAAATTCACAGGATTTGTGCTATACCTTACTAATATTTATATGACCAAGGTTATTTAGAAGCCAAACATTTTTTGTAACATTCCTTGTTGGGCATTGCACTTTTCCACTAAGCCCTACACTGCAAGAGGTGCACTGTACGATAAATTTATATTATGACTATACCATTCGATCACTCAGCAGCACCAGGCAAAGTGAAATTTTTCTTCACTTTTCTACACTGGTGTCTAATCTAGGTTCACCAGGCTGAAACGTTATGATCCACTTGTAAAGCACTGTAGAAATTTTAATATAAAAAGTTAGCACATAGGTTTCTTGGTATTGGGTAAAGAATAAAGAGCTGGGTGAAAATTTAATGGAATGGAATCCCATTTTTATCCAGGCTCACATCTGGTTGGACCTGATACTCTAATCACAAAGCACATTGTAATGCTATTCGGAATGAACCAGATTGTGTGTTCATGCTCTTTTAATGGCTGCTGCATAAGCACAACGAATGACATCCGCAGCTAGTGACATTCACCCATTAAATGTGTTTGCTGAACTCATGCATGTGTATCTTGTGCAATTCATCAAAGTGGGAAGTTTGACAACTCGGTAATTAATCGCTACATCCTGTGGCTGAAGCATTGAACTGACAAGGATTAAGTAGAAGGACACGACACTCGCTGACTGTCGAGTTTTCGCGTGTACGGTAGACTCCCTTTAAGATGAACTCCAAGGGACCTCGATCATTTGGTCGTCTTATCAGAAGTACCCCCAAAAACCAAATGCTAACATGCCAAGTATACCTAAATATGTTGCTTGAAAACACGGAATGATGTATACTTACAAGAGCGAGGAAAGGAAAAAGAACGAGTCCCGGTCTTTCTGTCCGCATCTAAGTAGTGCGCTCTCATTTCAAAACAATCATGTATCACCAACTCGCCCAATCAATCATATTGAACAAGAAAAAGCATTTATTTGGCTCAGATTGATGGAAACTATGCTTTCAAGTAGAGTATTTAGATTAATCTAACGAGTACTCGTTTTCACGATTTTATAATAAGTATGTCCATGAATAAATTGCTACTACATTTTAACAATAAAACTGTAGAACGACCATGTAGCACGACCATTTCTTCACTTACAGGCTCGGGGTCAGGAAGATACCAGCTTTATGGGCTGACCTTTCTTTTCTACTTTTTTCGCTTTTTTGATCCACGTCACAATTAGCTTTGATATGCTTTGAGTCTTGGTGCCAAATGTCCTCCCTCTCTTTTTTTTTTTCATTTTGCTTTGTTAGTTCTCCTGAATGCCCCCATTAAGACTATATAGTTCATTGCGTAGAATCTTCGTCATTGTTGGTCGCTGTGAGAGTTCGTCTTAACAAAAGAGGTGTGTTACGCAGTTCGTCTTAAAGCAGATTTTTTTGCATTGAGTCTATGGGAAACCAAACAAACACTCCCGTGCTGTTAGTCTTAAGCAAGAATTCGTCTTGGTTGCTAGCTAAACTATTCTTCTATGTTGCTAATGGCTCCTGTCGGCCATGTTTCTTTACAAACTGTTCTTTGTGTCAGTGAAGTAATGGTGGCTTTATGTCTTTTGGTGGATATGCCTCTATAGACATAATCAAATGAAACCAACAAACAGTGAAGTAAAAGAAAGTATAGGGGACTATATTTTATAGAGGAAGAGAGGGTAGAGACAACACCAGTACACTAGGCTAGTCATTCTTTTTCTCTGACTTTGTCCTTCTCTTTGTCGCACTGACTGAACTTGAAGGGCCCTAGCTCAATTGCCAATTTTCGTGATTTCACTCAGTGATGGCCGTGAGCACGTCAAGCTGCCGAAATCGACAGTGGGAGGCGACACTGGCTGTGTTGTGGTGGTTGGTCATATGTATGCCACAACTTGTCCTGCTGAACTGCCTAAAATTTTGGTGGATGACACTGTCTTTGTCAGGAGGTTTTTGCAGGTCTTTTCCTTGTTGTGAATTATTGTGGTAAGTTGTAGCATGTTGTGTTGGCAGTTGGTACTGACTGATGCAGTGTGGCAGTTCTGATAGCTGTGTGAGGGCATGCAAGAGCTGAGCGACACTGTCAGGGGAGGCACCCAATGAGCGAGAATTGCATCCATGATGTATGCGACAGTCGCAGCACTCATGAAAACAAGATCCTCTGCCGAGGAAGTTTAGATGGCACCCCTTGGTGGCTGAGATGATGGTAGAGTCTTGGTCATTGAAAGTCCTGGCCACAAGAACAGTGATTGATGTCCCAAAGCAAGAGGAGTCAATGCACATTCTTGGCGCAACATAGCATGGTGCCCATAAAATAATTCCGTGGAACCACTGAAGATATCTGGACACCGTAGGATATCTGGACACCGTCCGCTGGTGCTGGGGTCGACACTTGCGTTTGTGATTGACTTGTGGGTTCCATCACAGTAAAGATGGCAGTTCCGCTTGTGGAAGGGCATATGCTAGGCAAGCGCAAAATAGGAAGACGAGGCCAGAATAAAACAGCCAGCCGACAGCGAGAGTGCTGCATCTATGTCACTTCCTTTAAAATGGCCCGGTTATCCAAAAGCTTTTTCGAATCCCAACTTCTAGTTCGAGATAGCGTGTCTTCCTCAGGGAAGCCATCATGATCCCATGGTGGTGGAAGTCGCAAGTCAACAATCACTGTAAGTATCTATCTCACCAATCACAGTCCTTCTCAATGGCTCCAGGGAAGTACTTGACCAGAGCCGCACGACTTTGCTTCAGGAATATGCTGATCCTCTCGGCTGGGGACGTCGTTCACACTTTCCGTGGCCAGTATATCATGACGAAGACTCTACTGTCATTCAAGTCACTGAATGGCACCTATCACACTTCCTTGGCCATGTATTTCACCGTCATCAGTGCGGTGACCACTGCGTACTACGTGGACGTTATCCCTAGCTTATCTTGTGCCTCATCTGACACCGGCATGCAACTCTTGCTTACCCTTTGGCACGACCACTTGGTGACGTTGGGCGCTGGCTTCTGGCCAGATGTGTTACCAGCTCCGGCTCTCTCGGAGCTAGCAGAATTCCACCATCAGTGCTCATCAGCCCCGCCACGGTGGTCTAGTGGCTAAGGTACTCGGCTGCTGAGCCGCATGTCGCAGGATCAAATCCCGGCTGCAGCGGCTACATTTTTGATGGAGGCAAAAATGCTGCAGGCCTGTGTGCTCAGGTTTGGGTGCACGTTAAAGAACCCAAGGTGGCCGAAATTTCCGGAGCTCTCCACTACGGCGTCTCTCATAACCATATGGTGGTTTTCGGACGTTAAACCTCGCATATCAATCGCTCAATCCACTACAGCGTCTCTCATAATCATATGGTGGTTTTGGGGCGTTAAACCCCACATATCAATCAATCAATCATCAATCAGGTTCAATTCGATGTTGACTGCATTTTTTTTTTGTGAAGCTTGAATAGTAAAAATTTTACTGCAAATTGAATCGAATAAGAAATACTGTTGGAAAATGATTCAAAATTTTGGATATTTGCCCATTCCTAAAGTGTAATCCAATTACCTACTGTTCTCTTGCTTTCAAATTTTGGTAAATCATATTCTCTCAGGGAAGGCAAAGCTAATTAATTTTGTTAACCTATTTTTCTGGAACCCAAATAATGTGATGATATACAAGAGCTTCTGACAAAAATAGATAGCCTGCATGAATTATTTCTTCTAGATGCTGTGAAAAAAAAAAGTCTAATGGATACAGGTTGGCATTCAACAAAATCGAAAATAATTCTTAATTAGCAAAAAAAACAGCAATGCCAAAATCGAAATCCAACCGAGTGCACTTCTATGTAGCCCTACCGTGGTGGTCTAGTGGCTAAGGTATACTCGGCTGCTGACCCGCAGGTCACGGGTTCGTATCCCGGCTGCGGCGGCTGCATTTCCGATGCAGGCGGAAATGTTGTAGGCCCGTGTGCTCAGATTTGGGTGCACGTTAAAGAACCCCAGGTGGTCGAAATTTCTGGAGCCCTCCACTATGGCAGCTCTCATAATTATATGGTGGTTTTGGGATGTTAAACCCCACATATAAATCAATCAACCATCAATACTCTAGACTCTTGCCACACCCGGCTGGAAATTCAAAAATGGTTCGTGGCTATCTTCCACCTGCATCATGCTGCAGAGGCATGGCACAAGCAGATGGGACTAAAGCATTGGTCCTGGAGGGAAAAGAGTGGCAGGCTCATTGCTCTGTTTGGCTAGGTTTTTCATTGCTGCAATCGCGTCTCCATGGCCAAAGAGGCTCAAAAAGGGAACCACGCCAACAGATTAGTTCTATACTGCCTTGCCCAGCCATCTTTTAGCA